GCTGCTGCTGCTGCTGCTGCTGCAGAGGCTGCGGGCTGTTAGCAGGGCCCTCGTCCTTGCGGTCGGCAGGCGTAGCCAGGCGTGGCCGCGCTAGCTGGCGCGCAAAGGGTTCGAGGCCTGGCTTGCACCCCCGGCTTGCTTTGCAGCAGAAGGCGGCCTCTTGGCACAGCTGCTGGGCTGAGATTTCCTTTCCTGCTTCCTCCGCCGTGTGGGAATCCTGGCGGGCCCCTTCAGGCGGCTCTGACGTCTCTGCCTCGGTTTCCTTCGCTGTGGCCGGGGACGAGGCCCGGGGCTGCCGGGCTGGGAAGCGAAAAAAACAAACCCTTTGCCGTTTTGCATGCATTCACCAGAGAAGCCCGGGAAGCTAATCCTGGCGCCCGGCCCCAGCAGCTGGGAGCTTCCAAGGCTTCGGGAATTTGCTCCTTTGTGGAAGCAGCGTCTGTTTTCCTTGTCTCGGGGTTGCAGCCTTTACTCTGGATTTGAGCTGAACGGCTGTGGGCGGCGAGGGGGCCCCCGGGCTGCTGCTGCTCTCGCGGGCGCTCAGGGTTCTGTTCGGCCCCCCTGTATCCCTTCCCAGGCTGGCCAGACACCCCCATCGAAGCCGCCCCGGGGGCTGCAGACTGCAGGCGAAAGGCCTGGGCAAGGAAGGAGGGGGCATTTGCAGCCCTCCCCCCAGGCCATCCCATTGCTTGCTGGCTGAGTTACCCCCAGGGGCGTCTGCTGAGGGAGGGGCGTCAAAAAAGTCAAGGTGCAGCTGCAACTGCACGGTGGAAGCCTTGCTTACCTGCACTCGTGCCCATGAAAAGGGTGGGGCTTTGATCATGCAGGCGGGGCTGCCATCTTGACTTCTTTGACCCCTCCCCCAGCAGACGCCTCGGTCGGCACAGCATCGAGGCAAGGGTCTCTGCTGGCCCCGCAGGCTAAGCTTGGTTTTAAACCGTGGTGCTTTTGTGGTTTCGCACATCAAGTGCCCCTGGGCACGTTTACAGTTCAGTCTTCTGCATGAACTCAGGAAATGGGTGAATTCAATAACTGGAGTAAACGTGTTTTGTGAACTCCAGAAGGGCAAGTGCAAGACTTACTTTTGAAAGACATTTTTTTAAAAAATCAGCTTGAATGAGAGCTGTTTGAAAACCAGGCTGGAAGATTTTGGGGCGTCACCGGAAGAGGCTGCCGGGCCGTTCGCACCCAGAGCAGTTACAACCCACCATCGCCAAGCAGACCCCAACATGGCCAGGTTCACAGATTACACGTAACGTGGCTTGTCTGGCTTCCTATTTTATTCAGTAAACCACGCTTAAAGCTCAGCAGACTCTGCAATCGCATGCCCTCCATCCTTCAGTGCTGCAGAGCGTTCCTCGTGTTCACACAACATGCTTGACTCAGCCAGCTGCAAAACTAATGGCCGCACTTGCTCGTGCTAAACGTGGTTAGTTTTAACCTTGGTTTGTTTGGGGTGGCTTAGTGGGTGTGTTCTGCACACTCAGCCCGTTGGGTTACTTTACGTCCTGCAGTTCCAGGTATTATGTGAACCCGATCATTCATTTAAGCAGGCAGGTCAAGCGAGTTGGGTTAAGCGCCGCTCTTGGCAGCTCGTGCCAAGCGTGCGTTGCCCAAGAAGCAGGGTCTTTGCGTCCCTGTGCGTGTCAAGCCCAAAGAGCCAACGCTGCCCCTTTGAGCCTGGCCTGGCGGGCCGTGTGGGCCCAGCCCCTGCCTCAGCCGAACCAGTCCCGTTCTGAGATGTCCGTGTTTGGGGCCGCTGCCGCCGCCCAGGGTTTCTGGCTTCACCCCTGGGGCTTCCGCATTTTCAGCCACCTGCTTTCTGGCTCCCCTCCAGACCAAGTCCTGGAAGACGTTCTTCACGATGGTGCACTGGTCCTTGCGGCGACGCAGCTCCTGGGTGCAGCTGGCCGGGCACGAAGGTTTGTACTGTGCCAGGACCTGGGGGTGCCCGGGAAGGGAGGGGCGGGGAGGGAGATCAGTAGCCAAGGCCCAATGGGGGACTGAACAGGCCACGGGGCTGCTCTCCCCTGCCCCTCCATGCCGTTTAACACGCTTGGCCCAGGAAAGGTTTGTTTCACAGCTGTGCAAACGCGTCTCCTTTTTCCTGGCTCATCCCACAGTTTTCCACATTGAAGGTGTGTGTGGGGGGGGCGTGCATGTGTGACTTTTCATCTTGCGAGAGGGTGAGGCAGGCAGAAAAGTTCAACCTCCCCTCCCTCTCCAAAAGCTTTGCTTCGGCTTGGCACAGCTCTCTGAAAGCTTTGGAAGCAAGCCTGGCCCCCTCCCAGCATGGGAGCTGGCACAGTGCCACCCTCAGAGCCACAGCGGCAGACCACACTCTGGGGACTGGGCAGGTCACCGGGAGCCCTGGTGGGCACCCGTGCAAGTCACGGCTTCCAAGCCACCCGAGCATCTCTTAGAAAGGCGGGACTGAGCAATGGCGGAGCGTCACCCCCGTGCATTCCCCGTCTGTTCTCCTTCCAGGAAACTTCAAACCCAGCGAAGGGGGGCAGATCCTGAAGAGGTTCAGCACCGTGGAAGAGGCGTGCCTGGCTGAGCTGATGACGGACGTCCTGCGCCCCTTTGTGCCCGCCTACCACGGGGTGGTGGAGGTGGGTGGTGAGCGCTACATCCAGATGGACGATCTTCTCCGCGGCCTTCAGAACCCCAGCATCATGGACTGCAAGATGGGCACCAGGTCAGAGCTGCCCGCCTCTCAGGGAGGGGGGAACTGGATTGGGCCAAACCTGGTACCGGCCAGTTAGTCTCGGAGGGGCTGTTAATTGAGGGAGCGTGGGTTGGTGGGGGAGATTTGCACCTAGAGATGCAAGCGCATTATCTGCACGTTGGAATGGCCTTGCGGGGGGGTGGGGGGCAGGAAGATGCAACCTCAGTTTGGCAGCCCAGGAGCAAGCCCAGGAGAGAATCCCCTTGAAATCCTGCCTGGCATCAAACGAGCAATGCAGGCTTGGGTTTGGTCTCCGAAAGGTGCTCCCAAGTGTGCAGGGAGGTGAACGCAGCGCCTGTCTGCTGCACCATAAAACAGTCTCCTCTTTTCCGGATCGTTGAGCTGTTTTAAACAGCGGCACACCGGCTTCGGGCTCCGGAACCCCTTTTTGGAATTGAGTCTGAAGCATTTTACAACAGTCTGAATGCACCTCGTTTGCAGAGAGAGAGAGGTTCTAAATCAGTGTTTTTCAAACTGGGCCACTTTAAGATGGGTGGACTTCAACTCCCAGAATTCCCCAGCCAGCCATGATTCTGATGCCACAACAGGCTTAAGTAGATCAGATAAAGATTGAGCAGACCATTTGCACACCATGCTAAACTTGGTTAGCATTTGGATGGTGCTTTGGAGTGCAAAACCAGCCCTTTGGGGAGTGTGTCGCCATCTCGGTCACTTGAAGATATGTGGACTTCAACTCCCAGAATTCCTCAGCCAGCCTGCTTGAGCACACGTCTTAAAGCATGCTGGCTGGGGAATTCTGGGAGTTGAAGTCCACCCATCTTTAAGTGGTTGAGATGGAGACCCACTACCTTTGGGGCACCGAATCCAGGCAGCTTCACAGTCCTGATTAGCCGCTGAACTTCTCCCTCACCTGTTCCTCGGTCCAAAAACTCAGGAGTTGACCTAAACCAGGTCAAAGTACTTGCTCATTAAGAATCTGGAAATGGCAGAATATCAGAGAAGATTCTGGTCCTCATGGTGGTCAACAAAGGCTGGCATAATAAGGCTTTGAAAAAGCCAATCTGCAGCAAGTAAGCCTCCAGAGCATTTCCATCTGAACCCAATTCCACATGATTTCTTTGCCGCCATACGTTTTCCTTTCTCTCCTTCTTCATGAAAGACAATCATTTAGGAATGACTTCTTGAGGCCCCGAGGTTCTGGGGGGCTCAGGTGGTGCACCTCGGATATAAAGGGAGGCAGCCTCAGGGCCTTCTGCTCTGACGTGTCTGGTGGCAGGGGATGCTGGGAGCTGTAGTTCAAGTGTCGGAAGGGCCCCCCTGCCTTTGCATGCCAGGAAGGTCCGTGGCCACTGAGCTATGGGTTTCGTCCCCCCAAGGGCTGCCTGAAGCGTTAATCGGGAGATCCGCTTGGGCACCTCCCTCTGCCAATCTTGCTGAATCCAGACACAGGCCTCCCGATCCACTGGACGAGGCAGCAGCCCAAGCCCCCCCCCGCCATTTTGTCCCATCCACCGGGAAGTTCTCGAGTGGACTGGAGGGAGAATCCGAGCTCGCCGATACCAGCATCGGCTGATCTTCCTTCCCTCCCGTTGCTCAGGACGTACCTGGAGGACGAGGTGTGCAAGGGCCAGCCGTGGCCGGCCCCCCGGCGGGACCTGTACCAGAAGATGGTGAAGATCGACCCCTGGGCCCCCACGGCGGAGGAGCGCCGCCAGGGCGCCATCACCAAGCCGCGCTACATGCACTGGAGGGAAAACATCAGCTCCAGCGCTTCCCTGGGGTTCCGGATCGAGGGGATCACGGTGAGGGGCAGAAGAGCCGTGCGTGCGCGTGCGCGTTGGGGAGCGGCCGGGAAACCCCCCTTTCTAAACTCTCTCTGCAGATCGAGGGGGGAGCCGTGCAGCGAGACTTCAAGCAGACGCGGAGCCAGGATCAGATCGTCGAGATTTTTCTGCAGTTTGTGAAGAACCGCGTGGATGTTCTGGTGAGCTCTCGGGGAAGGAAGAGAGGCACAATCGCTGGCTCAGAGGCGGGGCCGCGCTTTGGATCAGTGGCCGAGTCAACGTGTGCGTGGGGGGGTTATTTTTATTTTTTGCTATTCTGTGGCTGTCTGCCCAGCCCAGTGAAGTCCAGAGTTCGGCCACCAAAAAGAAATAATCTCTTGGCTTACTCTGTTTCTAGGTTTGTACAATATTTGGAACCGTCCGTGAACCCTGATGACCTTGCTGTGAACATCAGATTAAGCCACAAAGAACTAGCCCTGGTTAAAAATAATCTAAGTTAGCACGCCGTGCGAATGCCTCCGCTAGGCCTTTAAGGTGGTTCCGTCAACCCGGCCTAACCTGCGAGGTGTTTCAGCACCTGCCCACAAAGTTCAGCGTTTAACTTTCTTTGCGCCAAGTTAAAAGAAAGCGCTCAGTTGACGGTTACGGAAACGGATTTGTCGCGTTCACACAACGTACTTTGGTCATTTCAGGATCTGGCGGCCACACTCAAACAGGCTAAGCTTAGGGTTCATTTTGATCAGTTTTTTTTTCCTCCTTGTGGCTTAGCCAACGGTACACGCTTGGTTAGTTTATGATGCATTGTGTCAGTCTGCTCAGAAAACGTTGGCTAGTTCAGCAGCCGGGCTGTGGGGATGCAACCCCAGAGAAAATTCGGGCTCCTCGGTCCATGCGCGCCATTTCCCCTCAGCCTGGTGTCCTCAGATTGACTGGGGCGAGTTCCAGTGGGCATCGTTGTCCCGCCACTGGAAGACTCCACGTTGGAGAAAGCAGATGCAGACTTTTGCTAGCTGGGGTGGGCGAGCCACGCTTCGAACTGAAAACCGGCAGGGGTGGCTTATTCAGCCAACCACGGCTCTGCAATTTCTGCAAATACGCCCTCAGTCGTGGCCACCCAAGCCATTGTTTTAAAGTCGCTCTTATCTTTATTTCAATTTTTTTTCTTGGTGAGGCATGCTTCTAGGAAGAGACAGGTTTGGGGGGATCGGGCCCCCACCTCTCCCTCATTTAATGCTCGCCTTGCCTTGCAGAAGACCTACCTGGCACGCCTGGAGAATCTGCGCCAAGCCTTGGCTGAGTCCATCTTCTTCAAGAGGCATGAGGTGATTGCTGGGAACCCCCCTCCCAAAAAAGGAGGAAAGCCGAGGGCTTCAGAGCTGTCCACTGGGGCAAGAGATAACCTGTTCTATCAAAGCAGCTCTGAAAAAAAATTCTCCAGCAGCCCCCCCAACACACACCATCTACAGGTAGTCCTCACTTAACAACCATTCATTTAGCGACTGTTCAAAGTTACAACAGTGCTGAACAAAGAGACTTACAACTGGTCCTTGCACTTACAACCGTCGCAGCACCCCCGCGGTCACGTGATCGCAATCCAGGCCCTTGGCAACCAGCTCGCACTTACAACAGTTGCAGCGTCCCAGGGTCATGTGATTGCCATTTGCGACCTTCCCAGCTGGCTTCTGGCGAGGAAAATCAATGGGGAAGTGTGCAATTTGCTTAATGGCTGCATGATCTGTTTAATGACGGTTGCAAAAAAGGTAAAATAGGCCGCAACTCACTTAACAACCGCCCCGCTTAACGAATTTTCTGGTCCCTATTGTCATTAAGCAAGGACTACCTGTATTAAAAATAACCAGGGGAGGGGAGGGGATCCTCCCCTCATTCTGAGAATTTACCAATGCAAGTTGGACTGGGAGGTTTGGGAAGAACAAGGAAAAAATTGCTCTCGGACTGGGATTCCTACCCGCCAAATGGCTGAGAGCTGAAAGTGTCTGGAGTGATTCAGGGATGGCCCCCTCTGGATGAATTAGACTTCAGCTCCCATAATTCCAAGTGCCGTACTGGGGAACTCTGGGAGTTGCGGTTCCATCAGGAGGGCCCAGGCTGGAGATGGCCTGCTTAAGTACAGGCAACTGCAGCGATTCCTGGGCACTTTACTTGCGAGGAAACCTCATCAAACCCAAGGGCCGCACTCACACAAGACCCGCAACTGGGTCCGTTCAAGGTCTAGCAGAGGCATTCGCACACCTCTCAAGCCTGCTTGATTTTTATCCCCGGATGGTTTTTAATGCCTTTGTTTTCGTGCCTGAGGGCTCAGTTTATGGCTCAGCACGTTGCATAATCCAGGCAAAAGGATTATATTCAACAATCGGATTAAGCGAGCTGTGTGAATGCAGCCAGTAGAACTTATTTTGAACTAGGCACATTATAAGGTTGGACATTTAATTTGCAAAAGAAGAGATGAAGTCTGGTTCCTTTGAGGCAGTTTCCCAACCTCTGCAACTTTAAGATGTGTAACTCCCAGAATTCCCCAGCCAGCGTTTGAAAAATACCGGGCTACAGGGATGCTGGAAAGCAGCGGATTCTTGCATCCAACCGTGCTCCCTGGTGAGAGAAGGCACTTTTTGCATGCTCAGTGGCTGCTCCCCCTGCTTAAAGCGCACAGCGCCTCAGGGTAGCAGCTGAGTCTCGCCACACAAGGGCTTGAGGGTGGGCCCCGGGCGAACCCTTTCTATTTGCATCTTTTGCAGTAGGGTGTGTGTGGGGGGGTGCTCCCCCTTTCATTTGTTTATCTGCTGTACTACGTACGGTAATATTTACAATTGCTTTTGCCAAAAAAGAAAAACCTTCTCCCAGGGTGGGCGGCATTTCAAGGCTCTGATTCAAGTCCTAGCACACTTTTCTGAGGCCTGAATATTCTTCTGGTTTGGGGGAATTTATTTGACCTTCTTTTCTCCCCTCCTTTTTTTCTTTCCTTCCTTCCTCCCTCCCTCCCTCCTTCCATCCATCCATCCATCCATCCATCTCTCCTCCCTCCCTCCCTCCCTTCTTTTCCTTCCTTCCTTCCTTCCTTCCTTCCTTCCTTCCTTCCTTCCTTCCTTCCTTCCTTCC